ATATCTCAATATAAACCTTACATACTGTAGTAATGTACATTATATATCTCAATATAAACCTTACATACTGTAGTAATGTACATTATATATCTCAATATAAACCTTACATACTGTAGTAATGAACATTATATATCTCAATATAAACCTTACATACTGTAGTAATGTACATTATATATCTCAATATAAACCTTACAGACTGTAGTAATGAACATTATATATCTCAATATAAACCTTACATACTGTAGTAATGTACATTATATATCTCAATATAAACCTTACAGACAGGTAATAATGTACATTATATATCTCAATATAAACCTTACATTCTGTAGTAATGTACATTATATATCTCAATATAAACCTTACAGACAGGTAATAATGTACATTATATATCTCAATATAAACCTTACAGACAGGTAATGATGTACATTATATATCTCAATATAAACCTTACAGACAGGTAATAATGTACATTATATATCTCAATGTAAACCTTACAGACAGGTAGTAATATATATATTTCTCTATTGATAGTTACATGCTAATACACAATCGGTCCACATTTAGAGGAAGTACCTGCTGTCTTTGATGTATGCCGCCCTATTTTAATGTATACATAACCTCAATTATTTCGGAATAAATATCATTTGTTCCATTGTTCAGGGAAACGATCCGAAGGAAGAAAAAATCGGTTATGTCCAGTCTAGCTTTACCTACGGTATTGACCAACACGTATCGACCGATGACCGGGACTGTGTGTCCAAATACGTCTTTGTTATCCTTATAATCACTATTGAGTAACTCCTGCTGTATGTAGATCGCTAACGAAATCCATCGGCTAACGTAAAGGATAGGCGAGGTGTCGGAAACCGTTAGGTATTGGTATTGTAAAGAATTGTATCTACCTCATCCCGTCCGCAAATATTAACGTAATATTTCCAGTTTCATCGGCAAATTATAAAGGATTGTGATTGTCTTACATTCCATCCGATTTTACATATAATACGTCCCTCCATTCTACCGTTATTTATATAAATGTCGATATAATTTCCGTAATATGCCCTCCGCATTCCACCCGCATAAAGCATTCTACCCTAAATTACAGTATGTACGTGCCTGTGTTACATCGTAATTTATATTATTTACGCCCCTGCATTCTACCGTAATTTATACATGTACAATAAACGTCCCTGAAATTACACCGTAATTTAAATAATGTACGCCCCTGCATTCTACCGTCATTATACATGGATAATGTACGCAGGTCCCTATATTACACCATGGTGTACCTGCATTCTACCGTAATTATGTATATGTACAATAAACGTCCCTGTATTACACCGTAATGTATATTATTTACGCCCCTGCATTCTACCGTAATTTATATATGTACAATAAACGTCCCTATATTACACCATGGTGTACCTGCATTCTACCGTAATTATGTATATGTCACTACATTCGACCGCATATGTAAATGATACAGAGCTTCATCGGCATCAATTGTTTTAGAGGAGGTACCGTGAGTGCAGTTTTACAATGCATTTAAAATACCCTGAATAATACGTCATACTCGCAGTTAGAAGGCAGAGGAGTTATTATACCCCTCCTTATCAAAGCCATTTTGGTCTCTGTGGAGTATAACATTTAGATAGAAAGATCTTGTACTTTGACGCTGAAAAGCATTATTGACCCTAGCGCCGCGGGAGGAGAATGAATATACGCTTTCAGTCTAGCACCCCTGTTCGTCGGGTATACCACTGTGCTTCTCAAAATAAAATATTGTTTGAACAAGCAAAAGTGATCGGGAAATGCATGATATTTACGTGGTATGACAGTACATGTAGCTTGTTTATAAACTATTCAATACTTATATGAATACTGTTAGCAGCACAAGTCCGTGGCTGAGTTTCCGGGTAAAGTACATACATGTATGTATATTTAACTGCTTTCGAATTTGATTTGTATATTTGAGTGATAGTTGGATAGTGTTTAAATTGAATGTACTGATAATTCAATAAAAAAAGTTTTTATTATTACGCAAACTCGGCACGTTTGGGTAAATATAACAGTTTCACGTATTAGGTGGTCGAGTGTGTCGCGGGGATAGCTGGAAGGGGGATTAACGTGAAGACGTACATGTATATTATGTCATCTATGGGTGTTCGTGAATAGTAACAGCAGATTTTAACACAATGACAGTCTTTATTGTATACGGTATGACCAGTTAAACTCGGTAAGGTACGGCCTGATAGCTTCTAAACGAATCTTTCCTATTGTTAGTTAAAATCTTGGAAAAATTGTAAAATTTAATAATTGAAATATTTGTGGTTATGGAACAACCACACTGTACAAACTGAGGTCCTTGTCCATTACCGTGAGCTATGGTGCCTTCACGCAATGCCGACAGTTTAATTAACATAGAAATGATTATATTTGCATCCAAGATGCCGAGGCAATTTAGTTTTGACGGAAATGTAATTGTAGAATTAACTTTTCCCAGCTTTCCCCCATATCGAAATACTCTGGAGGGGGATCGGTTGACGGCAAGTCGAGAACGGAAGGGAGTAAGTTCCTGCGCGCGGATACACCCTTGCGTGCGCGGATCCTGGGTTGTCAGGTGAAGTCCGATGCGGGTTTGCGCGTGCCTCCTCTCGGGATACGCGCGTGCGAACGTATCTCGTGTCATAGTGTTTGTAGAATCAGTTATCCAAATAATTGACTGCTAATTTACTTCCGTCAAAATAAATGAAATTGCGAATCGTAATACCGCTTGGACGTCCTCAAACCCTATAGAATTGGAGGTGTAAGCTAAACCTGATATTACACGAGTGTTTAGTTCCCGATACAATGAAACACTTTCTTTAGCCGGGTACTTTGAATAACGTTGGTTCTATACATCTTATACAAATACCTAATGACCGATCAAAGAGAGGCATTGAAACAGGGTTAAGTTACAGTACGTGTCAATATCAACTCTGGACATTTGTGTCCGAGTCGGTAGTGGACAATGTCCAAACAGCTGGTCACAGACAGGTCAACCGGTGTTTCGTATGTTCAATAGAAAATGAATCATCTGGAATCCAACACACACTTGGTGGGGTAGGGGTTGGTCTAGGGGTTGGTCGTAGGTCCTGGGGTGGGGACTGGTCGTGAGTCGTGGGGTTGAGGTGGGGTTGGGTATGGAATGGGGGGACAGGAGAGAATGTTGTATTTTGTGTATGGAAGAATTGGAGGGGATAGAGATGCAGCGTGGGCGTCTGAAGTGGTGAATAGAGACTGGAATCGGTAAAGGAGTGGTCTTTAGATAAATAATACAAATGTATATAAACTTTTTTTTACAACAATTATAAAACACGTTTTCCAGCTTATATTAATCTCTCTTGTTGGTAATAAATCACTCATTATATGGAAATTTACTATATAATGATTTTGATTCAATATAAAGACCCGTGCGTAAATATTTTCACTTTTAATTATCCATAGACAAACCTTAAAATATTCATAATGGGATTTTATTTTATATCATCTGCAGTCATTTAAATATGGCTAACATATACCAATCCTGTTATCATGATCCAAACTGATTACAAATTGCCTGTACGAGACCCCCTCGTCTGCAGTTTTACAAATTGCCTGTACGAGACCCCCTCGTCTGCAGTTTTACAGTTTTATTTTAGAAAGGATGTTGACAGCCTTTGTAACCGTTTTAGGTACACTACCACACGTGGAGTATAATTATATATAAAGACCAAATATAGTTCGCAACAATCGCCGCTAATAATGACATCGATGTTATTGGCAGCCATTCACTTAGTGATTGTGTTGTAGGTTTTTTCATTCTAAAAGAAATATTAGAGCCTGGCTATTTCACTTGTGTCAGCCTCAATGCCTCATTCCTAACTTCCCATGCAATTAAAAAAAATAAAAAGGATGCGATGAAATAACCTACAGCTGAATAATCAATAATTTTAGTCAAGACGACTTTCGAATTCCTTCTTTATACATTCAGTAATCTCACTGAATATTTTCCCCTTACCCAGAACACACCACTTCCCAACTAACACCCCTCCCCCTGTACTATGCCTTTCTTTCCTTCCCGAAGTCATGTCAGTTTTCCCGCCGCCTAGGTGGCGCGGACTCCGTGGCGTCCCCTGGCGGCCACTACCGATACATCATATAGCCTGACAGCAGACGAACTCGGGCCCGATATCAGGTCTTGTCAGGACTGTAGACAGTTTGGCCCGACCCCTCGGGACCACGATAGTCCCGTGTTGCATTCATTTCATCTTTAGCTAATTTCATTGTTTATAACTCGCCCTCCCCTGACCACGGCGGAGACGAGACTTGCACGCGATTTGACGATTTGTCCAAAATCACTATCTCTTATTCTGTCATCGCGGTCGAAAGTAAACCCCGTCAAATTCATGGCTACACGCAACTTTACATAAAAGAACAGTTAATCTCTACGTGCTGGGCAGTATTTCATCATTAGTATGCTCCAAGGGAATATTTTGTAAATTTTATTCCTCTTCATCCCCGGAATTGCTTTGGATTTTCGGGGAGACATTGTTATTAGGCGTATTTATCCGTGGAGTACCCCAGACGTCGAACATATAGTGCCGTTTAGGGCTTATTTATGTAATTTATTCTCAACAGGCATTACTCCAAGAGGATTCGCTGTACAAGTGTATACACTATGAGATTTTCTGTCTGTTTCATCTCTTACAAATCTTGCATTTTTATATTCTCGCTAAAAACCCTGTTTTCCTCTTTGAATGTTTCTATTACAATATTATCAGAAGTTCTTCTGAAACCAATTTATTGATGTACATGTGCATTTGGACAATATTAAAATAGATTCCATCACGAGTATTTTCAGTAATCGGTTCCATGTACACATCTAAAATGATTTACTTGCACATCATAGTTTTCATGTACTATTAAAAAATAGAAAATTTTCTTTTATGCGTATAATATTTATATTCGCTGTTTTTCAGGTTTGGTTCCAAAACCGACGTGCTAAATGGAAGAAAAGGAAGAAGACCACCAATGTATTCCGAACACCAGGAGCCCTGCTTCCTTCTCCTGGGTTATCTCCCTTTGGACCAATGAATGACACATTCTGTACATTCCATCCATCAGACACGAGGTGGTCCGGAATGTCCGGAATGTCCGGAATGTCCAACATGGGTTCCCCGATGAACGGAAACCCTCTGACACTATCGTCCTCGTTACCGCGACAAGGAATAGCTCAGTCTGTCGGACCGCAGATGTCAATTTCCGGACTTGGTGACGTCACTCTGGGAAACAGCATGGGCATGAATGGGGGTGCGGGTTTATATAGCACGGGTTACGGTATGACCCCCGCGAGCTGTTCGTCACAGCTCACCGGCTCCTCCTCACCTACCCTCCCTAACACTCAGATGTCGTGCGGAATGCAGGAAATGGGCGAAACTTGGCGGGGATCAAGCATAGCTACGCTGAGACGAAAGGCGTTAGAACATACAGTCACTCTCACGGGATTTAGATGAAAATAACGCAGACGTGACATTATTATTTAAGTTTCTGTAACATCTTGATTGGATTAAGATATGAGATATACAGGATCTGTGACGTCATTACTTTTATGAATATCTGAAAAACTCAGTTGTGACATAAAGCTGCTAGACTACTTAAAGCATAAGTGTCGCCGTACCAACGTTAACGAGACGCTAGTCTTGCAGAACGTCACTACGGATGACGTCATGATGTCATTGACGACACAGAAATTAATTCTTGCCAATATTGATGACGACGGTGCAATGGAGTCCAGAGTGCTACGTATGGTTAAGTGTTTGTACACATTCGTTCTGTTTCGTATTTATTGTTTGTCGGAGAGGAAATTGACTTGGCACGTGGATCAGAGAGGATTTATTTATGTATTCCCAAGCCGGAACTCGGACTCTTCACCAGTAGGGTCGGACGCTGCAAATGTTACTAGGTGATCAAACATTCCTTGTCGCTTAGTGACTGGTATTATTCCTCGTTGCTAGGTTGCAGATGTCATTCCTTGTTGCTAGGTAACCGATGTCATTCTCGTTGCTTGGTGATTACGAGCACCTAATTTCCCCTGGGGTTGTGCAATGGACGATAGTGTGTATTATACTATATAAACTATATTCAGCAGGAGCGCTTTGAAGATTATATAAGTACATTGTTTAGTTTATTTTGTCCGTCCATTGAAAACGGTTCCTAACATACGATGTGTCGGTTTTCGATACATCAAAAGACAAACCAGATACGTTTTGTGTATCTGGGATATTGTCAAAAACGTTGAAAAGCATGGTTTTGTTTAAAAACAAATTGATAATTCAAAATAATTAACAGAAAGGCAACTTATAAAACAAATTGATAATTCAAAATAATTAACAGAAAGGCAACTTCTAACTCCTGTGCCAAGAAGCTGAATTCTAAAAGAGAAAGAAATAGAAATACAAAATATATTTGAATTACAAAAGATGTCATAAACAGGAAATAAGGAATCGTTTTTTATAGGAGAGCTACCTGACAAGCTATCGGTCACTGTATTCTGTGTTAAGATAACACGTGTTTAATTTTAATGATACCTGCTGATGCAAGGTCGTTTTAAGGTATGGATTTTTAAATGGAAATAATTGTCACGCTAAACACATTCCTTGTACACCATGTTGAATGTGGAATTTACAAAATATATTTAAACGAATTTAAATATAATCGACATTATTTAAAACTGTACACGAGTATCCTTTTTTTTATTACTGTACAATTAAGTTAAGGGTTGGGTAGTGTAACAGATTTATATTTAGGTAAAGTAAGAGAACGAGATGGCGAACCATATTTAGTACCGTTTCACCACTGACAGACTCCTGTCTGTAAAATTAATGAAATTTTGACTACTTAAATTTCATAAATGTCATAAATGAACAACCATACTTCCTTACAATATTTGTACATGGTTCGGTGTAGTTCTAACCGAATGTACTGATTGTCTATGACTGAACATTTACTGTCTGTATCTTATATTTAGATAAGAATTTATTATATGGTAGACTTATGAATTACAATGCTAAGGACATATCGAATCCTGAAATATCTAACAATTCACAGTGTGAATTTGAAAAAATACCTGCTGTTTAGAAAATATCTCGAAAAAAATTGGGAAATTGAAAGTGAAAAAAATCCTGCATTGAGTTTACGTTGTAATTGAATGAATGTCCGTATACGATTACTTCATATAATTTTGTTTATTGAAATACGGGCGTTTTGTATACCATGTTTTAAAGTGAACTGTTATAACATAATTTGGTTGGTATTGTATTATATGTGTGTCAATAAAATTAGCAGATTTCTTTATAGAAAAATACCCATCTTTCATTGTCTTATCTTTCCAGAGTTTGGACAGTAAATCTTGTAATGTTGAATCCGTCTTGTGCACTGAATTAAAAAGACGTATTTGAAAATGACAAAAGCATTCAACTCTCCTAAATAAATTTCTGGTTTTTGCTGCCAAGCCCATATTTGTGATAATATATTTATTAACAGAAATATCACTGACACACTGCAATCTTCCTCTCAAACAAGTGTTTCAGGGTAGATGATTTATGTGCGTTGGAGAGGGTCGAATTAGAACACCGGTTACAGAAGGTCCCCTATGTACAGTGATCTCTAACGTGGCGGAATACGTTACAGTACTTTGTCAGAGTACCGATTCACTGTACATAGTACTGGTACACAATTTGGATTTTATTTTCAATAATGCACTGTAAATAGTACTAGTTTAAAATTTGGAAGTATTTGCATTTCTATTATTAAATAATAAACTTAAATGCATATTTCGAAATATGTATGTTGACATAAACTTTAAAGATGTCGACATGATTAATAAATTATTTTTTTCGACACAACACCACGTTGGCAAAGAAATTACCGGACTAATTAGTTGACTTAAGTTGTATAAGCTATTTGTACATCACGTGATAATTTCTTGGGAAACTATTGGTTAGCTAAGCATACCTGTGTTCCACTTTGCAGATATATACGTGGCAAGTCGATGTCGCACCTCAGCAACAAAATAACAGCCGAGCTACCTACTTACGAGAATACGAGTACCATTCTCGGCAAAACTGTCAGTTCATAAGTAGGTGAGTTAAGAAGCAAGACAATTTAGGAGTAAATCAACTGGAAAGTAAGAAACTACACTCAAGTTCAGCAGATAATCCGGAGTCTAAAACTGATACCGGACATTTCGAGGTCCAGGATTGATACTGGACACTCCGGAGTCTAGGGTTGATACCGGACACAAATTATATATTGGCCCTTCTTCGAATAGGCCCACTCGGGACACCTCGGTCGATTCACTTCGGCCACCTTTAATGAAAGGTACTGAAAATGTGGCGAGGTGTTCCGAATGAGTACAGCTCATCAGATGTGGCTACTAATACACTATTCCTGTGAGCCTCGATCTAAGGCTGACCGCAATATCGGTACCCAAACAATATCTGTAATAAATTACTATATAAGTAGTACTATCTAACCTCAATTATATTCCCTGTTCTATCCAAGCAAACAGATATGTAAAATCAAACAACACTTAAACTAATAATAATGAAAAAGAAGGTGGGCACCTTGCATAAAACTTTTTTGCCAAAATGTATGTCAACAATCCACATGTCCGAGTTTATCCACCATAGTTTTATATCCCCTCAGGAATCTCTGACGAGATGAAACCAATGGGAAGTTTCTCCCAACCGCTTTGTATTTCTTTGTATTCACCCCCTCACATACTTTTCGGGGTCAAAATAACGATAATCGTGCCTGATGCGCCCCAAAATAACGATAATCGTCGCAGATGCACCCGAAAATAACGATAATTAGCTGTTCAAAATAACGATTATCGTCGCTGATGCACCCCAAAATAACGATAATTACGGGTTCAAAATAACGATAATCTTCGTTATTAGGACCTGAAGTAGAGATACATATAATTAGCGAGGTGACAAAACAAACTTAATTGTTATTTCGAAATAATTAACGATAATCTTTATTCCCCGTTATTGTTTTTTTTATTATTTCGCTTCTGCGAAAAAAACCCGATAAAAATGCGATAAATATCGTTATAACGAAATGGTACATATAAATAGTTAGATAACGGCGGCTATTCCGGATATGGATACATTTACATTGTAGCATCTTAGGGCTTTCTGCTTCTTCTTTGTTTGGAGGTGAACACGTGTACATTGCCAACACATGGCCACGTGGCACGTGACACAATAAAGCAGGACATGGTTTATACACAAATAAAGGAATAGTGAAAAAAACAAAAACCCATATAGGCCTCGCGCATGTTACACACCAATATACAATGTATATCACCTGTAACACCAACAAATAGCAGAAATAACACACCAACACAACGCCACGTGACACAATAAAGCATGACATGGTTTATGCACAAATAAGGGAATCGTGAAACAAAAAAAACCCATATAGGCCCAACGCATGTTACACACCAATATGCAATGTATATCACCTGTAACACCAAAAAATAGCAGAAATAGCACACCAACACATGGCCACGTGACACGAGACATAATAAAGCACGACATGGTTTACACACAAATAAAGGAATCGTGAAAAAAACACCACTTATCAAATAGTCACAAATTAACCACAACACAACAGTTTCAATTAATTTTATCTTTAATACTAATGTCTTGGCAAGTTATTGTCGTGGTATATAAATATATATAAGAATAATTTGGAGTGACCAGTGGGAACAAAGAATCACCCAGATTAACTTTCTAGCTAACTATATAATTGATATGCATCAATTTATCATTGAACTGTGCTAAAGAAACAGGTGATTTGAAAATTTATGCCAGACAATCCTAAAAATGAAATACTCTCCATTAAGAAAATGCGCACCAGTCCCATGCGCTCTTCCCTGAGTAGCACACATTTTACCACGACTTTAGAATGAACGAATACATCTGTAAAGAGAAAAACACTTGCGCCAGGAAACATTCTAATTGGGTGGGTGAGAGGGTAAACTTTGCAATTGTCTTCAGAGTCGGAAAGCTTGCCGCATAGGTATGTTCTAGAAAAAAGGAAGTTCTGTTATGTCGTCTAATAAATTGAACGGATACTGTAACATGACTGTAAACAATATCCGGATCAGCACTTACACATATACTCAAAATTCATTTTTGGCATTGTGATAAATTGTTTGAAAATATCATTTTAAAACTTATTATCAAATGGTCACAAATTAACCACAACACCACAATTTCAATTAATTTTATCTTTAAAACTAATGTCTTGGCAAGTTATTGTCGCGGTATATAATATATATAAGAATAATTTGGAGTGACCAGTGGGAATAAAGTATCATCCAAATGAACATTCCAGCTAACTATAAAATTGATATTCATCAATTTATCATTGAACTGTGCTAAAGAAACAGGTGATCTGAAATTTTATGCCAGAAGCTAGATAACATTCTAGCTCCGCAACCAACAGAAAAATAGGTGGGGGAAATGAAAGCGAACATGTTTCGTCATTCGAAAATACCATACCGCTGTTAATTCACTCAGAACTCAAAATGTTGTATTGAACAAAAGTGTCGACAATAACATGCCAGTACTCAAATCAATGATTAAACCAGGACCCAAACACAACAACAATTACCAACTTGATTTTCCTGATTTGTTACCGACCTTCCCAGAGGTTTGTATGTGGCAACTACAATCAAGCATCCAACATTACATATATACAAAACATCATCGTTTGTATGGGTCCTATGTCCATTTAAACACATATACTCACTTCATCAGTGACCAAACACGTCGCTAAAGTTTGCGACCCATATGCAAGTTGTCATTTCGACTGTAACCAAATGAAACACATACAATGAAAATACTATTTCAGTTACAATAATTAACAATACACTAATAGTGCCAAATGAGCTATAGGTCAGGCCTCAAAAATAACTACAGAGCACTCTGCAATCGGAAAAGAAAAATTTCGTTACCGAACTTACTCAAATAGGTACCATCGGGAAACAATTCAGGTTACCAATCCAATATATCGGAGTATTCCACGACAATACCATGGAAACTCTCCTTCGACGCCTTGACCTCCCTATTAACCCTCCTACGCGCCAATCCCAATGCATTATGACTGTTTTCCCCCCTCCAGCAAATTCTGGGCAATATGTTTGACCATACTATCTGAGTATGAGGCAACATCTCATGTAGTTCCTGTAAATCCCTAACAATTGTTTTCCTTAAGCGAAAACCTGCTGACCCTGAACCAATATAATTCCCTCCACAGTGTATTGCCAGGACGTTTGGGGGATCCTCCATGGTTATGAGATGACATATTTTGGGTTTTAATCTCTTCCAAGACATGCCACTGTAACATTGCCACCATACTGTTGCGCCGAATCGTCTCAAACCCAAATTTGGCCCATCGTGAAAATCACTTCCTCGGGCATGGAGAAACCCTCGCTTGAAGATCGAGGATCTCACTATCCACACCCGCCTAGATGAATCTAAAAACTTTAGGCTTACTTAGCCCTGTTTTACACCATTAACTGAACACTACAATAGCTCACTATACACATCCTAATTAATGAAACTTTCAGCAATACTCCTCTTGGAATACGAATGTATGTGTGGAATGCGTTTGATGTCCAACGAAAATAATGGGAATTTTACTTAGATGAATCCATACCTATGTGAGAAATAACTATTTTAAGAACAGCGCAAAACTTGTACCTGGTAACAGGCTTTCCATCTGCATGGCATAATAAATACCCAATGTACTTGGGGTCTTCTGTAGATGAATTGCTCATAACACCTAACAGGACATGTTCTCCCTTCTCTAGCTTCCAGAATAACAACTACCCCAGTCCCATTCTGATCAGTTTTTGAAGACTGCAGACCCAATGAAAGTGACGTACCTTAACCTTCATTCAATAATTGCACATTGCTGGCTTGCAATCCATGTTGTGCAGGAGTTGCTACTAATTCTCTACCCTTAAAATCCCGTAATATGCCAGTGAGTAGGCAAGACTAAATAAGTATCCTCATAATAGGTTTTACATACCACTGGCAACTTTGCGATCACCCTATCCAGAATGCTTTTCTTTTAGGGGTAATGGGTAATCGAACATCAAAGGAATGCTTGGAACGACTGAAACCTTGTAGTAACTTTCTAATCAAAACAAATCTGTGTTGGGTCAAGAACACCTAAAATCTTGCATTAATAGGCAACTGCTGACACATATGAACGAACAGAACTAACCGCAAAGCCATGGAAAGATAAATATGACACGAAATTTACCACATCGGACACCTCTGGTGGCCAAACTAACCAAACAC